TTCTTAAGTGATTTCAAAATCAACCAAATACTATTTATGTATACAAAATTCCATCTAATAAATAATTTTACATAATTGCAATTAATCTACATAATTATACTAATATATATGCAATTCATGATCGGGTCTCACATTATGTGTGTATGAGATGATATAGTGAATGAAACCTTAATTGTAAAAAAATATAATGTAGATTTACTTTATTAAAAGGACGTGTATAACATGAGGTGGATTTAGTTACTATTATGGTGAGTATAAAAAGAATATATTTAATAGTTTAATAGTAAGAAATTAAATGGGGATGAAAATAAATATTTGTGGGGGTGAGATCTCACCCTTTTGGATATAACATTTAGTAAACTCACTTGAGGTGTATAGTTTTATTAAATAAAAAAGGGTGAATCACACTTTGTTCCCAAAAAATTTAAAATTTTTTAATTTTCATCCTTGAAGATTATTTTTATTCTCAATGTTATAAAATGGCTGCAATGTGACCCCACACTAACTTTAGTTTTCATTCTTTTTTAATCTTACTGCACGGGGGTCACATTGCAAATTTAACAAAAATTATAATAGAAATTGGTGTAAGGGCAACATTACAACGGTTTTTTTTATGACATTGAGGATGCAATATAAACAAATTAATCATTTAGAATACAAATTAAGATTTTTGAAATCTTTTACGATATAAAATATAATTCACACAATTAACAATTGTTGATTGCACTAACCACTGGCCATTGGATTGGTTGGTGAGGAGACATATATCCTAAGATGGTCCGAGGTAAGGTGTTTTGGTTCAGTCTCTGCATTGACGCGCCGCTGCATTTCAAGTGTCCCTACAAGGTCTGATCGATCAGATATGTAGCACAATGTTACAAATTCCCTAATATATGAGAGGGATCTTTGTCTCTGATATTCCGTTTGATACGGTATAAAGTTGAAATTCAATAATAAAAAATTAAAAAGATAGATAAAACACCATTTTTAATAACAAGAAAAATAAAAAAAAAAGATAAAAAAAAAATGGATAGATAGACTTTTCTTCTACCTCACCAAAATTAATCTCTCTAAAATTTAAAAAAATATATATGAAAAGTTAATTATTTATGTTAAAATGTATTTTATTTGTCTATATATCCTTTGATATATACATGTATTATATATATATATATATTCATTTCATATATAAATATAATGATAAAATATATATTTATACTTTTAAAATAAATTAAAAATTTTAAAAATATTTTTTCCACCTTACCAAGCACAAAAAAAAAAAAAATAATAATAATAATTTTTATTTTTCATCCATCCTACCAAATATAAAGAAATGAAACTCAATCATTCCTATTTTCCTTCTTTGAAGGAAAGAATGTATATCCCTTCTATTTTCCATCCTTCATACCAAACGAAGCATAATTGAAATCCCATTCAATTCAGCTGCACACAAGACCTAAAAATAGCATCATTATTGGAATGGAATTCCATCCAAAGTTCTCTCGAGTAACATTTTATCAATAAAGAGTTGTTCAAGTTGTGCACACCCCGACTTGGGAACAGATTCAGCACCCGGGAGCTTGTTTTCTGGCGGAAAATCTCTTTTTCGTTTGCTTGCCTGTTTCCCCTACCTGAAAAGGGATACATGAAAGCCAATATGAGACTTTTCTATTAGTCAAAACTCGCAAATCTCTCTTTGAAAGCTGATAAGATACATCTACATTTCTAAGTAAAAAACAAAAAACTCCCATTCATGCGCATGTTCACGTTCTATATATCCACAAAATCACAGCCCTGTCATGCATAAAGAACTCAACTCACCAATGCTGCCTAGTCCCTCAAACGTAAAATACTATCTGTGTCAGTATTGACCACAACCACATCTTTGGCAATGATCTACTACAAGGTAGCAGCGTTAAAGACAGGTTCTAGCAAGAATAAGGAGTCTGCTCATTATGAGAACAATAGGGACAACAATCACTTACTGTCAAGAAAAAGATACTGATTGACTGAACAGCAACAGAAGAGGCCTCCAGTTATCTTAAAGGCAGCATCTGCTGCAGCGGGTGAAGCTGATTTGATAAATCTCTGTCCTACCAACTATGGATGTCTCAAAAATAGAAGAACATGTGTACCCAATGAATCTTTACCAGGAAATTTTTTCTTTTAACTTATTCTGATAAACCATGTTACTCATCTAGTCAAATGGATCATGTGTTGCACCATTGTCCCTTCTTAAACCAGAGGACACACCATCTCTAAAGTGGCTTACAGCACATTGCTTCGCCGCAGTATGCACCAAAATCCAGCCATTGTGCATACAGCTGTAGTGGCTCCTTACGTTTTGAACAAGTCTAAAACAAAAGGCTCCAATGTGCTTGCAAATAAGCTACCTTCTAGCACATCACTGATGGCAATACTTAATCAGGAAAAAAATGTTTGTGATGTTCTTGTTCAATGGATTGGAGTTGGCGAGTGTTAAGTGAAACTACTGGGAAATTCTAGACCAAAATCAGCATAGAGGGTCTGTCCATGGAAAACCTTCTAGAAGCCTGAATATTAGAGCTGCTATTAATCTAAAACAACAGCCTCATTGAACATTACTAAGCTTCTTAAGTCCACGCGAGTCCAGGAAAATATATTGTAAAACTGAAATCCAAAATTGCTTTTGCTCTTAGACTTCATCAGAACAAAGGTATAACATCGATTTTGTGTAGAAGTGTGATGCTACTCAAACACTGAAATTCTTAACTATCACATCCTTCAAATATGGTTTTTCACTTGAGATTCCTCTTTCTCTGCTCTCAAAACAATAACTTTTGGTTTAGAAACGGGCGAAGAACTGGGAAAAGCTGAAAACCTAAGGTTATGTTGCTAACATTATTCACATTTCAGAAGGCATTCAATGAGAAAAATGTTAAATTTTCCCAGAGTCCGAGTAGGAACCAATTTTTCTGTATGGATCGATCTATTTGACCTAAAGTGAGAGGTGATGTTCAAACGAGGAAATGTTTACGATAGATACCTAGGCACATAGCGACGAGGAAGGGAATAGAGAGCAACGAAATGCTACGAGGATTTGAAAATAAGAACAGATCCGGAGATTCCCAAATAGGTTAGCAAATGGAAACCTAAAAATCCATCTCAGAAAATACATAAAAGAACACATTTTGATCCTTGCCTCATACAGGACTGTCACATTTATAGGATAAAAAAGTTTGTGAGCGACAAGTGTTATTTTCCTTAGAAATGTGTTTCAAGAGCCACCGTGCAACTCCAATCAAATAGAGTGGGAGCTCAGAAACAGCTCAAGAAAACAAAAATGACCATTTAATTCTGAAAAAATGCAAAAAATTTAACAATAAAATAATCAGACACTCATTTTAGCATGTTTGAAACGTGCCTATATCCCAGACGTGTCTGACACTGACGCTCCGACCAAAATGAAGTGTTTGTACTTCCTAGATCTCAACATTATTTATAGTAGGTATCACGAGGTTGCAAGTGGTCAAAATTACAGATGACAATTTTCAAATAGGGGACAAACCTAAAGCGAAATTAGTGGATTGGGGTGGAGATTTTGAAACAGTCATCAAAGGAGTCATGTTTGGGTTGACAAATTTAAACATGATTTTAACACGATAACCTGTATAATTCAACCTATGAACCTGTATAACCCAAATTGCTCGTATAATCAAAATAAACTGAACAACCCCAATAACCCTTTTAGGTATAGTCATATGGGTATAAAAGAACATAAAAATACTGCTCTAAATGGCTAAATCAATCCACCCCCACCCGATTTCACCTTTCTCCCTCAACCACTCTACTGCCTCCCGCCTTACTCTCACATGCATGCATAACTGCAAAACAGTGAGACACAAATAGGCAAAATATGCATAAAAATGTAACCAATGTCATCAATAAAGAGGGAAGGAAGGTTGTTACCATCAATGGGGATTTCTATTCGAGATGAACAATTTTAACACAATGTGGTGTGCAAACATGCCCGCAAAAAACAGAGAACATGAGGTTGTATTTAGATTGCAAGCGTGTGTAACTAATTCCTATGTATTGTGGAAAAACACTAAGAATCAATACTCAGAATAGTAAAATGGAAACATGCAATGCTCTGTTTTCTCTTACCTTGATACTTCATTTATTACAGTGCCTTAAAATGTTATCCATAACAAAGAAACTTCAAAGAGGCACAGCTGGGCAGGGATGTCTGTGTGGTAAAAATTTTTGACACATTAAATCTGCCACTCACAGACTCTGTCTCACCCCCAGATCAGGCTCAATCCAGATGTGAATGAAACAAGTTTTCCTCAATACGCTCATGACTAACCCCCTGCGCCCCCCCCCCCCCCCC